TTGAATCCAAATTTACAAAAATCTGCACAGTTCTACTTTTTAATATCTTTAAATCTTTAAAGTTTAGAACTCTACCTTAAAGTGATCATCAAATACTATAGATACCAAACTTATTTTTGTGTAAATAACAGATGATATCGTTAATCTTCCAAGTCATTCTTTATGAATGATATGTTGAAAATATGCAGAGAGATCTTATATAGGGTCTATGAAGCTATATATTCAATGTAATTTATGGACTCAGAAAAACAATTAATTTTATTAACTCTTTAGCAAATCTGAAAAACGATTTAACTTAGCGAAATTTATTGCCAACATCACTTCAGTTCGACTATGAAACAGATAAATAGTACTTTTGCATATGTGAACATAATTCCATTGGATTTTTTTAAAAAAACATTTAAACAAAGTTAAGGATTCTATTATAGAACAATTAATTTGACTAATTGAAAGATTTAGTCATCACCAGAAAGTGATAGAAATAAATTGATTTGGATATGTTGACTCAGACATTTCACCTTTTATTCTAACTGATCAAATAAAACCTTTCTCTAGATTAATGCAGAACGAGTTTCTTGATTAAAATTGAATTAACTAGACAACAGCTTGTATCGTTATTATTAATAATGATAATTAAGTTTGACACATACAAAAATTTATCGCTCTCACGATTATAAAATCGTTGATAGACAATAAAACGCTCGAACGATTAATCGCACACGCGATTTTATCGACTGACTTAAAATTTCAATTATGAATTCCGTTTTGAGTTAATTGGCTTTTACTGTTCGGAAAGCATTAATATTTTAATTTATTCGGAAGTTTATAAATTCAAATATCTATTCAAAATAGTGTATAAATAAAATTAAAATAAAAAAGATGAATAATAAATAATAATTACACGGCATTAATATATTTAGTCATAAAATATTGTATATATATTAAGGCAAAATACAGTTTTATTTTCAGCAGTTGGGTTATTATAATTTTATAACATAAATTGATTTATATAATTGCTACTCAATTAACTTTTGAATTCATATTTACGTTGTTTTTTTTTTTTATTAATCTTAAAGAACTTTATGGGTCAGTTGAACCATAAATAATGCTGGGAGAACCTGTTCTATGATTTTTTATTTTGCATATCTAAGCCATACTTCAAGCCAACTTTAAATAAAGTAATTCAATAAAAAAAGCAATGCTTGACTTAAAGAAATTTTATATATTTTCATAATAATAGAAGCAGTATCTATTCATAAAATAAAATTACATTAGGTTTATATTTATAAATAAATAGAAGGCAGATTCCAACGTGAGTAGACACTCCATCATTGTCTGTCTAAACCAAAACGTTGAAATTTGTTAAAGTTATAGTATGTTTACACTCTCGCAATTAACTTGATAAATGTGCAGCGGTAATTTTTATACAAAATGCATACAAAAATATTGTAATGAGGTTCAATAATTGTAAGTGGCAACATAGTAATTGTCCTTAAAACTTTTCTATAAAAACTTTTGGAACTTGTAATTCTAGTCTATCAGAACTTCCGTTTGAAGTAAGTTTACGTCAGAGTGCTGGAGTTACACGAATTCCAACAATAATAACAACTGTCAATTTAATGACTATCTATCTATTATAAATTTATTTCTTCTATATACAATCTTTTGTAGATTGTTGTACTTAGAGCTCGCCTAAGATTCACAGCTTAGAGCTCACCTCCTAGGTTTCGATATATTAAGGAGCTCAAGATTGATTTCCCTAATATTGCATATGTACATGTGAAGAAAATTTCATTTGTTTCAAAATTATGTACGATTATTACAAATTTTCTGTACCATAATAATGATATTCACTGGATTGACATTCATTTTTAATCTTCTGTTGCATAGTTCATAAAGTAATTCCGTAAATTTTTATCCCGTCAAAATGACTATTGTTGTAGTCTCATTTTACACACACCTATTTCCTAACAGATATCTAAAAAAATCAACTATTAGAATAATTTATTATTGAACATAATAAAAAAGAATCGAATGAAATATAGTACATTATAACATGTTAGTTAAGATTACAAAAGCTACCATAAACACCTTTTTTAAAAATAAATAGTTATATTGGATTCTCCCAAAGGCGCAAAAGCAATATATATCCAACAAAATTTTTTAAATAACGCGTGCAATATACATATATTGTATATATCTCAATTTTTTTCGAAAATAATAAAGAAGAAAGACATGTATATAGGTTCAACTAGCTATTGATATTGCGAAATCAAGAACCCAGTACAAATGATATAGTGCAATATATTAATAAATTGTTGAATGCAAAATTCAAAATTTTGTGTTTAACTGAACACATAACTGTTCAGTTGATCTTGTAGGATTTAAAGATTAATGGAGATCTTCCCGCTAGTCTCCAGTGTTCATTTTTCAGAAGGACTACTTCATTCTTCACACAAGTAACTCATTACACAAACTAAATGGATATTTCTTTTATACGGATAGAGTGACTGATGCCATCCAGCACTTCCGACCCCCGATCAAATTCAATTTTATTTGCATGTCTAAAGGTTACGCTAGTAGCACTCTCAATAACTACACGCGTAACCTGCCTTGTATAATAATATAAACACAATTAAATAAATACTTATTGACATATTTATAATATTTTATTATTTGTTATAGTGATATTTTTGTTTTTTATTTCCACCAATAAGTTAAGTGAAAAAAGTTGTAATTAATGTGCTCGTTTCATGGTTCAACAACTCGAAATAGTGCCCAAAACATGACTTCACTAAATGCCTTATCGTCAAGCCCACTTAAGAGCATTCAAACTTCATGCAGAGAAAATGTTTTTTTTCTTTCAAGTTATTGTATTAAGCAGTAATTATGATACCAGTGACTTATTATTAAATTTTCATATAAAAAACGCTGGCCATAAGTTCAGTTGCTCACCTTGGTTTCAATAGCAAATCCAACAAACTACCGGTACTTACGTGTGTCCAACACTTCTTACGTCTGCTTACAAATAAAACTACTCATGAACTTTGAAATTGTATAAATCTCCAGAAACAGATCCATTTATAACGCTCATAAATATATATATGTATATGTATGAGAATAACATATACCATACTCCTCTGTTCTTAAGCTTGTATCGAAATTCGACTAAGTCAACAATTTTTCCGCTCAATTTTCATATTATGATGACTAGTCTGCGTCTGCATTTGTCTGTCTGTCCACACAATTTTTGCTGTCTAGTATTGCGACCGCTTTTGCATATGTGCACATTTATTCAAAATTATTTATTATTGTAATGTACATGCGTATATATATATTCATATATATGTTAATATATATGTTAATATATATATTAACTGCAAATTCATGCTGATAACTGCGAAACCGCATACATATGGCCAATAGTCAAAGCTTATAGCTTCGTCCAAGCCAAGGTAAAGCCACCTACAACAGCACCAGAGTAATTGTGACAACTGCTAATTAAAATTATTATATAAATTAATTACCATTGTAAATTCTTGAATTGTATAAATTACACCAATTATTAATTTACGTGTTATTATAAGACCAAAAACCTGATCAACACATTTTTACATGGATTTTGTATGGATTATATTTGAAAAATGACATTAGGTCTGTTCCACGAGTTACTCGTAGTAAAACTGAAGTAAAACACAAATAAAATTTACACGAAATTACACGAACATTTTGTTGGTGGAACCCGCTTATTGGTCGAGTTAATATCGTCAGTGTAAACGTATTGTCTCTATAAAGATTTAATTAAGTGTTGATTTGAAACACCTGTTGACGCAGTTCTACATTTCTTTCCTCTAAGTTGACTGTCGTGAAGACAATTCGCGGACACATGAGCTCGTCAAACAGAATGTATCTCAAACATATTCCGCACATCTGCAAGAACCTGATATACACTAGCATTATGCAACTAGTTATTAAAATCTATATATATTAACAATTTAATAGAAGATAGATAGACGGAATAATATAAACATCTATATGCAATTTAACACTCTTAAATAGCAAAAAATCTAGTAAACTTATTTAGACAAAGCTATCAGGCACACAATTATATTTGCAACAGGATTACTGACGATTAGAAAACTGTGTTGGGATATGGAATCTTAGCTTTAATGATTTTTGCTGTAACTGTGAGGAAGAAAAGCAAGTGCTTGAAATCTGCTGTATGCGTGCACTATAAATATTGAAGTATTTCTTGTTAAATGTCATCTAAGATTTTAAGTAGTTTCAAATGATTTAAAACCCTTCGAGTTTTTACATAATAATATAAGAGTCCAATAGATCTAAGTGGACTTCTAGAATAACCGTTGCAACCTAACCTAATCTAATTGTTTGTCGACTATAAATATTGAACATTTTAGAGTTTTCTAAAGTCAGGGAAGGTATTTCTTGTTAAATGTTATCTAAGATCTGAAGTAGTTTCAAATGATTTAAAACCCTTCCAGTTTTCACATAACAATGTCAGAGGCCAATAGGTCTAAGTAGACTTCCAGGATCACCGTTACAACCTAACATAATCTAATTATTTTTTAGAACAGAAAATAATGTTGTTGTTGTCATATACTTACAGACTAACTTATTTCACTTACTTACTGCAGTCCTCTTCTCCCAGCAAAGCATAGGGCCTATGCTCCACTATAAGTCTATAAGCATAGACTTATTTTACTAAGTCAAATACAAGTCTTGAGCATTTAATTCTCGTACTTAATATATTTATATATATATATACATACAATAATATCAATTATTATATATTTAAGTATAAATATTATATACTTTTATTCACTACATTTAAAAATTTTAATAATTTATTTATTTTTTATTTGTAAGTTAAAACTAAAATTTTAAAGTTAACTAAGAATAAGGAACTGGACTATAAGGTCCTTCGTCATGACATTCAAAAATTAAAATCTATTAAACTACAAAATTATTTTTTTTTTCAGTCTTTTCAGTTGAAATAAGATATGTTTCGTTTCATCTTAATCGCTGTTTGTTTGGCTGTGCCAGTATTATCGTATTCTACTGGTGCTCCAAATAAAATTTGCACAAATGGTCTTACACCAGAGCATCATCTTGAAGGTCAAACAAGTTCACCACCCTATAGTTTTTCTGCTGCACAAAGCGTACGTGCTGGCGATAAATTATCGATAACCCTTAGTGGTGATGATTTCTTGGGTTTTGCTATACAAGCGCAAGATAGTGACAATAAACCAGTAGGTACCTTTAACCCTGTGGATAATCACTCATCTCAGACACTTACGTGCTCCGCCCCCGGTGTAAGTAAAAACTTGCTTAAAATTTTATTTCCCATTCTTATTTATAAAATAATAATAATATATATACTTCTAGGACACATTGACACACAAGAAATTGGCTGAACCTATTAAGAGTTTAAAAATCGAATGGACTGCTCCTCAAACTAAAGGAAAGGTTAGATTGGTTGGTACTGTTGCCAAGAATGGTGCTACTTTCTGGGTACGCAAGGTTTTACTTGATGTTAATGTGGAATAAAAAGCAGAACAGATTAATGATAGTTTTGTTTTTTTTTGTAAATCTTTAAAAATTAAACTTTTTCGATCTAATAAAATTAAGTAATACACTTCTACTTGTGATAAAAATTGGTAAATTCTCTCATTTTATTTACAAAATTGAATTTAAAATAAACTTAAAGAAAAAATAAGATGTTATATACTTCTAATTATATAAGCTACAACACTACAAGTTTATATATAACATATATATATATATGTATATATATATATATTAGAAAAGGGAACAGCAAATAACTTTTTTCTGACGTCATGCAGTTTCACTTTGACATTAAGGAGAATCATGTATAATTTTCAATATGATCTCATACAGATCTTTTTAAATTTGGTTTTATCTACATTATCTAAATTGGATCGTATTTAAAGTTCTTGTATATTTGTTTTCATTTACAAAGTTTTTAATTGTATGCATATTATATTGATCAACCAAATTTTCTAAATCACAAAATATCACTCCGCAGCTGAGCTAAATCGTGTTTTACTTCAATTCATTCTCATACTAACGTGTGAACTTATATATTTGCTTGGAACCAGAAAGTTTTAAATCCAATAAATATTAAATAGATCAATATTTGATTAAAAAGAAAATAATAAAATAGTATTCAAGTGACTTAGGTCGTGTGCGAGTTAGGCTAAGTTGCGTTCTAAATGAGGGAAATACTAAGTTGTGCCGATAATGTAGTGATGTGTCGATACGTGTTGATAAATGGCTAAATGTGTGCAGTGAAAAAAATCCCAAAAAATCTCCCATTTGGTTTAGCATCAACTTAGCCTAACTCGCACACGTCCTTAGAACGTTTCAAATTCTAAGAAGTAAAATCAGCAACATTAATGTAATGGCATAACAGAAACAATTATTTGTTCTTAGCATTAGTTCTTCAGAGTCCCCCTTATAAACTTCCACTCACATTCAACCGGTCAATGTGTTACGTACCAAGGTCCTTGCGGTGTTTGCGCTTACAATTAATGAGCTGCATTAGCATATTTTTGTATGGATTTTGTGTGAAAAAATTATACTTAACTTTACACATTTGACACGTTAAGGCCGTGTGTGAGTCGAGTAAATTGATAGTAAATTGATGGTAAATTGATGGAAATAATAAATTATGTCGGTATGGCAGCGAATGTTGGTATTTACCAGAATTTCGAGTAGGATAAATTAGATAAAAATTAAGTAAAATAGGTATTACGATTGTAAAAATTTTATAAAATGTTTAATAAATAAATAAATTAATTTGAAAACTTTTAACACAAAAATAATAAATAAGTGTAAAAAGTGCAGCGCAAAAAATCCCTAGGAAATTTCGATATAAATCTTTGCATTTAAACAATAAGTCAGATGTTAGTTTTTGGGATTTTTTAAACCGTTTTGAAAGCTTCCTTTCATTGAAAAGAAGCTAACTACATTTTGCATACTCTAAATTTTATTTACTTCAAATATTAAACTAAAAGAGTATCAATATGTGGCTCTTGTTTGATTAAACCAAACATCAAATATATTTACATCATGTTATGCTGGGAACACAAATGACGCGACTACCATCATAGATAATTAGAATAATTGTTGCTGTTAAATGTGGAATCTTCAAAAGATACTGATATCTCGTGCTATGAGTATGCACGATTCGCAATCAAGACTTACTCTTTAACTTGATATTTGCACCTACTTACTAAACCTCATCCTAACACCGTGCCTTTTCTAACCATACATCCCTCCGGAACCACATTTAAGCATTACTTCGGAGAGTGGTGATTCAGCAATTAGTGTCATCTATTTCTGCAGTTCTAGCCCTTTCTGCTGCTCTTTATCTTTTCCAGTTTTATGTTGACATCAACATCAGGTGGATAATGTTATCAGGTGTGACCTGTTTTCTGATTACTCGCAGCCAAGAAGCTGCGATGGCTTTCATATCTCGGACAATCGAAGAACATATATTCCACGGTTTCTTTTGTAACTGTTGCTGTGTGAATGTGGTAAAACTTTTAATCGGAATATACCACAGCACCGTACTGCATCAGTCAGTCTGCATCTCATACACCTCCGCTATACCGCTGCAGTATGTACGTACATTGTGACCGAAAAGTTTTCGGAAGTTCTCATTTAAAATTCGCGCGCTGTATATTTTTCGATATTTTAAGTTTATGTAGTTTGGCAGCAATTAACGTCAATTACTATGCCAAAAATGAGCGCGATCTGTCAGACAGTTCGTTTACGGCAGCTGTTGAAACCAGTTCACCTCAGTAGTGCGTTGCGAAAAAAACAATGGAAAAAAATATTGAACAAAGAGTTTGCATCAAATTTTGTGTTTCGAACGAAATTTCGTGTGCAGAATCGTTGCGAATGCTACAAAAGGCTTATGGGGAATCAGTTTTATCGAAAACTCAAGTTTATGAGTGGTACAAAGCCTTTCAGGACGGTCGTACGACCGTCGAAGACATGCCGCGTTCTGGACGACCTTCGACCTCTACCACCGACGAAAACATTGAAAAGGCAAAGGAAATCGTGTTCCAAAATCCTCATGTGAGTGTTAGAGAGATAGCACGAGAGCTAGGCATCGGTCGTGAGATGGCTCGTTTGATTTTGGTGGACAATTTGTGTATGCGACGTGTAATTCATGGATTTTTCATGACGATAATGCTCCCTCGCACCGAGCCAACATTATCAACGATTTTAAGGCCAAACATTCAATAAATACCATCGAACAGCCCCCGTATTCACCTGATCTTGCACCGTGTGACTTTTTCCTGTTTCCCAAACTCAAATTACCACTCAGAGGAACGCGTTTTGAATCCATAGAAGACGTAAAACAGAATTCGCAGAGGGAACTCAAAGCCATACCGGAAAGCGCCTATAAAATCTCGATAAATCTCGATTCAATCTAGATTTACTTTAGTGATCTTCAGCAGTTTATAGTGACATCGATGCCAGAAGAATCACAATGGCATCGATGCTTTATTGATACTTTAAGCATTTTTGAGAAATCAATGTAAGAAATTTATTGCTGTATTTCACCTCTATATTTTGCAAAACTTTTATGTGTCGTTTATGATGGTTTATGATTTCGTTCTAATATAAACACAGCAAGTGAAATTGTTAATAAAACTTTCACTGCAAATTAACAAAAACTCCAGAAAAATGTGCGAACATAAAAGTCAAATACGGCTTTGCGTCAGTTGGTTAAGAAGCACTGACTCTGAGCTTCAAATTTAGCAGGGCACGAGTTTAATTCCTTTTTTCACTTCATTTTTTTTTAATTACAATTATTTTTTAATTTTTGCTGTTGAAATTGCTTTAATTTATTTATAATTATAATTTAACATTTTTCTAATTAACTTATTTGAAGATTAACTATATATATCACGTATAACATGAATGATATCAAGAAATACTTAACTGATTTAATTAATAAATTTAAGGATTATAGTAAAATTTTAGATTAGATTTGCACCCAAAAAATATTACTTTTGTAATCTGTCTTGTTCGGAATATGAAATGACTAATCATATTTAGTTTCGACCTAAAATTTGGTGACTTTACCCTTATTCTTTAATTATTAATTGAAACTAAAATAGAGGTTTATTACTGTTAATAATAAAATTGAATAAAATTCCAATATAAGAAATATGATGAACAAAAACTTTATTTTTTAATGGTTAAATTTCATTTATTTTTCTATTTATTTATTAGTTTAATGAAAACATTAAGCTTTCATTGTTGAAATGAATAAATATTATTTAAAAATTACTGCATTTATTTAACTAATTTATAAATTATTTAAAGATACATATACCTCCCATAAAACTTTAACGTAATATTATAAAAAAAAATATAAGTTATTTAAATATCAAATAATAAAAAATATTAAAGTTAAAAAAAATAAACTCATTAATATTATTATATTTAATCTCTTATTTAGTAAAAATTGATTAAATTTTGAGTAAATTGATAAAATTTTAAACAAATAAAATTCTCCAAAAAATTTAGATCAATCTTGATCAAATCTTTTACATAAACTTTTACCTAAAGATAATAAATTATAAACTAACCCATAAATTACAATATTGATATTAAATAATTTTGTAAAGATTTATTATAAAACTATAATGAAATTTTTAAAATATAACATCCCATAAATTCTTCTAATAATTACATAAATAAAGTTAATATTTTTAATATTATAGGTAAAGAAATTATAGAAGGAGTCCTAAAATATAAACAATTTCGTATACCATCTAAAATATTTCTTATAAATAATAATCCTAATATCTTTTAACATAACTTATCTATTATCTCTTAATATATTTAATAAATTGTTATTACAACCGATATTTATTTAGTTTATACATATATATATATATATATATATATATATTTTGCCAGGTTTAATAAAAAAATAAAAAATATAAAAATTAATATATTACTGAAAAATTAAAATTACCAATTAATGAATAATAAACTAAACGAATTGAATATCTCAGACTTCATCTAGTAGAAAAAAATAAAAAAGAAAATATATTAATATAACTTAAAGACACAATTTCTAAGATTACATCCTGAGAATAAAATTTCACCAAAAAAGGTATACCATATACAGCTAAATTTATAACATTAAAACATCTACAAGTAAAAGGTATATAAATTCTTTAACCTCCTATTAAAAGAATATCCTGTAAATTATTTATATTGTGAATAATTGCTCCTGTCCATATAAATAATAATGCTTTGAATATCCATGAGTTATTAAATGAAAAAATGCTAATTTATAAAATCCTATTGATAATAGGATTTTAATAAACCTAATTGACTTAATATTGATAATGTAATAATTTTTTTAAGTCAAATTCAAAATCCTAGCTCCTTACCTAGATAAACACATTGTTAATCCCGAAATGAATAATAAACACTGTCCTAAAATTCTAATTAAGTTTATTAATAATTAATTTAAAAGACACACTAAGTCTTTCGTTTTTGTTAACCAAAAGATTTAAATAAAATAATTTAATAATTATTTCAATAGATATTAAAATGCTGATTGAATGAAATTACTTTTTTTTTTGATTTTTTAATTTTAAAAAA